GTCTGGCTTCCTGTCTCTGCATTCAACCTTCCTGCACAGGCTTCTGTCTTTGTGATGCACCTACCATGAGACCCTCACAAAGCAAGCATGACTTTAGACCTCTAGAATGGTGAATTAAATGAACATATTTTCCTGGGCTGGGGTTGTGGCTCAGTGGTAGAACCTTGCAGGCATGAGGCCCTGAGTTTGATCCTCAATACTACATATAATAAAAAAGTAAAATAAAGGTATTGTGTCCATCTACAACTAAAAAAAAAATTAAAAAACAACTTTTCTGTATAAAGAAGTCAGCCTCTGGCATTTTATTATAGCAACAGGAAATGAACTAATATACTCATATTCCTAGTATTGATTTAAATTATAGTCATCACTATCAGCGGAGGACCTCTATAGTCACCAAAATCCATAGATGCTCAGTCCCTTGTTTGAAATGGCAAGGTATTTGCATATAACTTACATTCATTCTCCTGAATATTTTGTCATTTCCAAATTTCTTATAATACCTAATACAATATAATGCTACCTGAGTAGTTGTTACACTGTATAGTTTAAGGAAAAATGAATGACATGGGAAAGAGTCTGTACATTTTCAATACAGACTCCATTTTTTTCCCTGAATATTTTTAGCCTGCAGTTGAACATACAGATGTAAAATTTGTGGCTATGGAGAGTTGATTATATTTTATTACATTTTCAAAATATATACAGAAACACAACAAGGAATAAAATTCTTATGCTCATAACTCCCTTACAACTAGAAAATCAAAACAAATGTAATTTAAAAATTCAAGAAAAGCTCTACAAAAAACAAAATTCAACAATACTGACTGAATGCAACAGATGAGGCTTTGCCAGGACTGATTTGCCCCTTGTGGCATGATCTTGGCACCGACCAGGTCAAGTCCTTTGAGCTGATGGGCAGCAGGATGGCTGGATCCTCCTACCACTTTTTCTATTAGACCTCTATCAGGAAATGTTGCCAGCTGGCTAATGTTGGGGGAGCCATCATTTACAAATCCACCATGAGCCAGAAACAAAGACCGGTACTGAGAGGCAGGCACACCGTAAACACAGGTGCTCGGGCCTCGGGGTTGACCTTGTTATAAAGTTGTCTTCAGATGATTCAGAAGGCGTTTCTACCAGTTTGTTATTGTTGTCAAAATGAAATCCCGACGTTGACCTGTTCTGGTAGACAAGTCCCTGTGTGCAGATGTGTGGCAGTGAGGGCTACGGAGCCCCAAAGACGACACTTCTTCCCCTTCTCGAAACCCAACCAGAATGCCAAGGCAATGCGGTGCGCCAAGCCCTGTCTTACAGACATGGTTCGCGCGGGCTGCGAGGCCTGCGGCCAGCCTGCTGGACCCTTGAGAAGCAGCAGTGGGGCAGTGGAGTCACCACTGGGGTGGGTTGGAGCGCGTGGCCGTGTGGCACCTCCACACAGGTGCAGCAGATCTGAGGCATGGGGAGCCTGTGCCCAGCCGAGCCCACGTGTGATGGCCTGTCACCCTTCCGTGGCCAGGCCTGAGCCTGCTGCGGAAGCCCGCTCCACCCATCCCACCACCTCACCTCCCACTTCCTGGCCTGCGGGGAGAGATTGGAAGGAGGGAGACCTGAATGGGAGTCGAGACTGGAGAATTGACCAACAGCAGTTACTATGTTTCCAACCTTAATTGGCATGATTTTGGACCAATAGCATTGATACTTCTTCCAAACCCTAATTAGCATAAGTTTGGGCCAACAGCCATGACCCAAGTGTTCTCTAAAGCCCTAGACTAAACCACTCCTACAGACACAACTTCCTGTTGAGGTGCCTTCTGCCGGGCAAGTGGGTTTTTGTTTCTGTTGGTCACTAAATCTTGACTCTTACACCTGGTTCATTCTGGTCTGTGTGTTTCATTCTTCAAGTTCACCAAAGAGCCCTGGAAGAAAAAGGAACTGAGGGTAAACTGCTAGGGTCCGTTGCGACATTGGGGGGGCACGGCCTGTTGTTAGGAGCTGCAGCGCTTCTCGGCTGCAGAAGTGGAGAATCGAGTTTCATCTTAAAATTCTGGCTTTTACTACTAAGAATATTCTGCTCTTAAAAAGAAGCTCTTGGAAGAGACCAACGTCTAACTTTAGGATCACTGTATCGGAGCCAGCTGGAGGGAAAGAGGGGAGAGGGAAACCAGGGAGGGGGTGGTAAGGCAAGGGGAGCCACCATGGAACTTTCTTTTATAGTGCCAGGCCTCTCCAGAAAAAGATGACTTCCCTGGTGTCGCTCAATAACAGGTGCTCCACAGGTCCACAGAGTTACGCCCAAAGAGCCCCAAAGCAGCAACCCCTGCTCAATCTTTTCTACCTGCCTTTGGAGAAAGCACAGATTTCATCCTACAGCAAGCAACCCCGCAATGACAAATTCTGTCAATGAATATTGCTGCTACGGTCCGACCCTCAAAGACAGAGAACTGCTTGAGCTGAAGGCAAAGCAGAGAGGTATCCGTCCCTAGGAGGATGCTCACAATCACACTCGCAATGTTCTAACCTCAGGCAGCAGGAAACAGCTACGCTCTCAACAAATGGAACTCACCAGCCTTTTCCCAGGGTCTCTCAGGTGAGACTTATTCTGGAGCCTACACCTTTCAGGAAAACTACACTGCAGGGAAATAATCACCATCAACAGCAGTGCTGGTGATAATCACAGCTCGCACGTGTAGTGCCCGGCACAGGGGATAAGAGAGCTACTGAGATTTTATTTTTTTAACCTCATTGACTATGAAACATGTAAAATTACTGGAGAAGATAGTGACATCTCTATGCCATTTAAATATTTACAAAGAGCTATTCCTATAAACATTAAGACTGGAACCCTGGGAAAGTCCTTACCACGCTCTGACACAGAAGGGCTCAGTCTGACATATAATCATCCATGTGCAACTGACTTGTAAAGAACTGACTACGTGCTGGGCCCGATGGCACATGCCTGTAAGCCCCCCGGCTCCGGAGGCTGAGGCAGGAGGATGGTGAGTTCAAAGCCAGCCTCAGCAATGGTGAGGCACTAAGCAACTCAGTGAGACCCTGTCTCTAAATAAAATATAAAATAGGGCTGGGGGTGTGGCTCAGTGGGTGGGTGCCCCTGAGTTCTATCCCCCACCCCCTGCCAAAAAAAAAAAAAAAGAAGAATTGAGTAGATACAAAACTGTTTGTGACACAGGAGAGGTTGAAGGGTGTTCTTGTAAACTATGGCCACTAGTTTGCAAGGGCTGCTCTGTGAGAATCCCACAGACGGCGAATACGCGACAGTCGATAGTAACCCACCAACTCAGGGCTCCGGAGGTGGGACTTCTGAGAAGGTGTGGCAGGCAGGTTTGGTCTGAAAGTGCTACTGTCTTCTGATAGCTGTCCCCTAACTGCCGCTTTCCAGGACGGCCACGGGGCTGCACATACCCCTGATGTCCTTCTCAGGACGACAGTCAGACGGGAACAGGCTCACCCCTGAGGGCTCAGGGCAGCTGCCCCCTTTTCACTGGGGCCACAGCTCCAAATAGAGTCCCACTCTGGGGTTCTGGGGGGTGGGACTTCAACTCGGGCATCCCGGAGAGAAAGCGCTCAGGTCCCAACACACACCAGGAGGACAGAAGACACGCCCCCCCCCGCCCCGAAGCCCCCTCTGTGGCTCCCTCCAGGTCCCATTCCCTCCACGCCCGGGGATAACTGCTCTTCCGATTGCTATCCTGCACTTGGTGATTTTACCAACCACATTTGCACATTTTAAAAATCTTATAGAACCATTTAAAGCAATAAATTTCCTTCTAAGCAGAGCTTAGGCCACACCTCCTACACATTTTGATATATTGGCTACACATAATTTCATCATTTCAAAATGTACTCTGATTTCTCCTTTGATTTCTTCTTTGGCCTATGGGTTATAGGGAAGTGTGTGGTTTAATTTCCAGATGGGGGGTGTGTCTTGATGGCTTTGTGTTATTAACTTCTAACTTTGCCATTGTGAGAGAAAATCCTTTGTATGATTGTTGAGAGCCACAGCCAAAGGGGCCCCAGCAAACTTCCAGCTGCCAGCAAACTTCCAGCTGCTGGCTGATGATTGGCTCACAGCAGCCCCAGCAACATCTAGCTGATTGGCTCTTCTGCGGTGATGCTCATTGGGCTGTTTCCCTGCCCTTTCAGACCACGGAGCTGCTCATTGGGGGACTTTTTTGGCTCCACCCACATGACCCAGCCAATCGGCCTCAAGAGCAGGAGGATTGTGGGAGGTGGAGAGAAGCTGGTGGGGGAGAGAGAGGCTTATGGAAAGCCGGTGGTGGCAGTTGAGGCTCTGAGGGTTTTTCCTGAGAGGCTGTTTTGTTTGGCGTGTGTGGTTCTAAAAATAAAGTTAGTTTCTTTTGACAAGTGGCTCCTGATTGTGCCCAGCCAGACTGCGGCATATGATCTCAATCTTTTTTAAATTATGGAGACTTGTTTAATGGCTCAGCATATGGTCTTACATTTGGAATTAAAATAATAAAGTTAATAACAGCATAATTTAGCACAGGTACAGCCACTGTGGCTAAGTTGATTCAAAATATTATAGGATTACTTAAGCAAATAATAGCAAACTCAAAGTTTTTGTTTGTTTTGTTTTGTTTTTTAGGTGAAAGTCTGATTACCACTCATGGGAAAATGGACAAATAATTTATTTTTAGGAACACAAGGATTCTTTTTCACTCAGAGTGGTAACAAAAAGATGCTCAATGTTACAGTCATACCCTTTCTTTGGAAGACAATCCTACACAATTTCCAAACCAAATATTAATCGCTTACTTTATTTCTAGCAATTAAGAGAGTAGTAAGAGAGATTTTAAAAAGAGTTTAGGACTTACCCTGTAGCAAATTGAACTGAACAGCTATCTGACATTTCCTGGAGAAATGTCCAGAAAAGGGGATTGTCTAGCCCCAAGGTTTATATTAGAAAGACAATATATAGTAGATATTCAAACCATTTTTTCAGAGATTCCCAAGTATACCCTAGGAGAAACAAGCATATAAAACTACATTTGTGTTTCTAAAAAGATGGTAACCTAAAAATATATATATATATTAAAAAAAGTTCCAAATGAAAAAATACTCAGTTCTTACTGCCTTACTCACTTTAGGGAAACCATTTAGTTAAGCACATTTTCCTCCAAATCTATTTAAACCCTGAGATTCAGAAGTAAAACCTTATTTAGAGGACTTTCTAGTCAAGGATTTGACCTACATAAGTTATATAAATCAAAAGCCAGGCAGCATCCTCCAAGGCAGGGGCCAAAAGCGGTTTAAAATTGTTCAGCCTTGGGATAGATAAACATGAGCCAAAAGAAGTATAAATTTTCCTGAATACATTGTATCACACAGCTAAGCAGAGAAGACATTCAATGCCTAATTTTCAAACTTTTAAAGGGAATTTCCCGTGAGTACCCTGGAGCTGGGATGCCCTAATTCTGGCCTCATTCATGGCCACATTCATGTGCCAGCTGTGACCTTTTCAGATAAGACCCATGGATGCAACATCTGGGGGCTGCTGCCTTCTAACATGCTCTGAGTAACACCGTGTACACAGAGCTGTGGTCTGACCCGATTCCTGCTAGTGCAAACTTCCCACGGGCCAGCCCGTGTTAGGGAGAATTCTCCTTTGCAAAGACCCTTTTGGGCCACTCCCACTGAAATCCTGTCTTGGAGCCAGCAGACAGCCTTATGCACCAGGTCGCTAACTGTACATTTTTCAGGCATTACACCAGGTTTTTCTTATATAGTTCCCTATTAAAATGGTTTAGATTCCAACCCAAGCCTTGGGAAACAGAGCATCTAGGATCTTGAGCCCTTCTGCAGTGGGACCAGAGTGTTGCAATGACATCGTCTTATACTAGAAAGAAGCGAATCCTCACTCTAGGAACCAGGGGCAAAGCCTTTTGTTACCATGGATTGCAAAATATTCTTGGGACAATTTTGATTTTTATAAAATTACTTTGGGCCTTAGCCTGTGGGTACTTTCCTATCGTATCACCACCTTTATGGCTCATTCTTGTCAAAATGACAAAGGAGAATTGATTTCTTTTGGTGCGGTATCCTTACCAATGGAAACTGCTATGCACTGATTGATAAGTATTAGAGGAAGGAACTATCAATTCATTTGAAATAAACAAAGCAAAATCTCTACTTGTGACTAGCAATCCATAAAGACAGCACTGTTTTCATCAGTAAATTTCTGTAAAATTCATGAAGAAGCCCAAGTCAACATTCCCTCAACTTATTAATAAATTACAGCTTTATTAAAGCAATTCCCACTGACACAGCCCACATTAAAGGTCACACTCTGCAGGGTCATCTTAATGATAAGTAAAAGAAAAGCCAAAGTCAAATGGAAAACATCACTTAGAGTGACATGGTGATACAGTGGCAACTCAGAGGCTCTGCAGTCGGGAGGTCTAAATCCAAATTCCAGCTCAGCACTTGAAGACTTTATCAAAGCTGTCAAGAGGCTGTTTACTCATCTCCAAATCTGCAAAACGCGCCCCCTGGCCGAGTAATGGACTGCACTGGGTTCAAAGATGCATTTATCATATTTAAGAACACACTTCCAAGGCCTTCCCAGACTTTAACCAGGAGGACTTTCTAATCATGAGCCCACGGCACGGCTGCTAAGTGGAGCCACCAGAGCAGCCCTGTGGGGGGCACCCGGATGTGGACAGGAGGGACTGCTCTTCGGTTGCCTTTCTTGTAAATACTGACGGAGAAAGACAACGAGAGGACTGGAGATGAGGGAAAGGAAGGTCCCACTTTCAAGAAGACAAGAAAGAAAAACCAAAAGGGAGAGTCCCAACCCTCCAGGCCACCGCGGCTGTTGCTGTTGATCCTGGACCAGGTTCTTGGCAGCACGTTCAAAGGACGGTTTGTGACGGCTCCAGAGAAGCAGGCAGCAGTCCTGGCAGGCGGCACGGGGTCAGCAGGGACAGGGCAGAGCCTCTCCTCCTCTGGAGGGCGAGCAGCTGGGCACACCAGGGAAATACAGTGGCCAGCACATGTTTGGACGTGAGTGGGGAATGTGACAAGGGCTCTCATGACAACTTAAAGGACAAGATTTTAAAACTCAGGAGGACGCCAGTCCAGTGGCGAGAGGGCCAACCAGCCCTGCTGTGGGCCTCCAGTGGCGGGCGGTGTAGGGAAGGTCCCTAGGTGGGGCCTTGTCCTGGGTCCCTCTGTGTCACCTTTTTATTTTTTAACCAAGGACCTGGATGAAGCCTGAGGAATATCTGTCTTATATTCATACGAACAAATAAAATCCAATATCTGTGTGGTGCTTTCTCCTCTCCCTTCTGTCCCCACTGTCTCTACATCCAGTGTCCCTGACCCTCACAGCTATTCCAAAGGGAGTCAGGACGTCCACGCTTCCATTTTGGAAGAGAGGAAACCGAGACTCAGGGCAGTTAAAGGACTCGTTTGGTGTAACAAAGCCAGAAAATCGCAGAGCTGGAATTTATCCTCAAGTCTCAAGTCTCAACTGTACGTTTTTGACCAAAATCTGAGACAGGCAACAACTAGAGATACAAGATTCAAAAAAAAAAAAATCTTGACAAGCAGAAGGGAGAAGCAGGATCTGAGAATCGACTTGGGGCAGAGCACTGGGGTGGGCCCGTTCACACGGAGGTCCTGGAACATACCGCCCGACTTCCAGGATGGCGAGCTAGCTCATCCCACCAACCTGCGTTTTGTAATCTAGAACAAAAAGGGCTGTAGTTCTCCCTTCTCTCTGTAGGTCACAACCCACTGGGGAAAGAGATGTATCCAGCAGATGTGATATTTAAGATCCTTTCAACCCTGGGGTTCAGTATTCAGTGTAAGGTATATGATGGCTAAATAAACATATTTTAAAGTGAACGCTAACAGCTCAATCATATGATCACTACGACACCACACAGGAAAATAGATCACAGAGCCTAAATCCCAGAATTCCAAGTTTATGGAGTAGTTATTCAAAAAAAAAAAAAAAAAAGTTCACGATAGCCATGTATACACCACACACACGATCTTAGCAGAGACTCCCCGACCACAGGGGTCGCATCTGTACAAGGTATTCAACACTACTTGGGATACAATCTGGAAAACCCAAGGGACCTTCTGGACACCAGGAAGCAGAAATGGTGGCAACCATTCCCAGGCCTTCAACTCTGGGGCTAAAGACCTCTCTCTCTGCTCTTCACCCTCTCCGTGAAGTTCTGCCAAGCAGCATCTTTGGAGTCTGTGCAGAAGGAGATGCCTGGAGGTCGCTTGTGTCCAGAACTTGTGAATTTTCCTAAGGGACCTGTTCTCCCTTCTCATTTTGACCAAGTGCCACAGGGCATGGATTTCCAAAGGTAGGAGAAACTCCATCCAGCCAACCAAATGGAGGGGTAGGGCAGCCTACCAAAACGGCATCAGAAAATAGGCAAGATTCTCCAAATAGCGCAGGAAATCCATATTTAAGCATATGCTCCATTTCCTATGCCAATAGCTTCTAAACTTGTAAACCTGCGCCTGCCCTCTGGCACCCAAACAGAATACGCTCGCTCGCTTCTACTTTCGTACCAAAGTTCCTTCTAACTAATTCACAGCTACTAAACTTTTGCCTCCTAATATCCTCAGAACTTTGAAACCCACTTTACATGATACCATCTTCTGCTGTTCTCATCTTGAAATGTCTCCTCATCTTCTATTTCTGACTCTTCCCACGAATTTCCTTGTTCCCAGCTTCCTGTGATCAACACCCAGGGCGAAACTCATTAAGTAAACAGGCTGCCCCAGAGGGGGCGGAGGGAGGAACCCACTAAAACCCACACCACCAAACCCGCTGCTCCTGGTGTTTTTCCAGGAGGTGGAGGCTAACAGCTTACTCCGGAGCAGTTCAAATACCTCCTGCTGGGACCTCGGCAGCCTCTCCTGCCATATGCACCCTGGTCACCAGCCAGTGCCTCTGAATGCCAGCGAGAATCTGCAGATTAATGCCACTCCTCCCAGCCTCAGACCTGCCACGGCTTTACTCCTTTTAACGTTATACGAACGCATTTCAGGCCCCCAGTTTACGGTCTGTGCTGATTTTCCTGATGGCTGCCTTACGCCCACCAAGACGACAAAGCCTCCAGACAGCAACCCCAAGGGCGATGTAAGGAGAGTTTTCTGATTATGTCATCCAACAGGAAGCCTCACAGAGACTCTGGGATTAATGTGTTTTCCACTGGAGCTGGAGGCAGGCCGGAGGGAGTCACTGGAACAGGGAGAGGGAGGGAAAACTGTCGGTGGAGGTGGCCTCTGTCACAGGACAGTTACAGGGGCCACTCACAGGTACCCGCGTCCTCAGGCCTCCGAGCGAGCAGATTCTGTCTGCGGCAGCGAGCAAGCTGTCTGAGCGCACCCCACCCAGAGCAGCTCTAAGCCATGGCAACATTCTTGCTCCAGATGGCATGGAAAATAATTTATAAATGACAAAAGTTCAAGGAGTGTGTGCCAGCTGTTCAGCCCCAGTTCTCTGGCCACCCACTTCATAGAACTGAGAGCTTTCAATCAACTCCCGGCTCTCGGAGGGCCTTCAAACGGCCCAGAACATGTGTACAATATGTTCTCAGAGAGAAGCTGGCCAAATAGGAAAGATTAGAAAATCAAGAGACATAAAAATAGAAAATAGAAATATACACTTGTTTTGTCCCAGATCGTGATCCCCAGCAGGGATGAGGAGCCAAGGACCTGGCATTTCTGAAGCCACACCATGAGACCTCCTCGTAGCCTCCCAGCTTCCTTTACACGCAATGAGAAGTTTCTAGAAGCCCAGCGATGCCATTTCAGTGACGGGCCATCAGCATTTTGCTCTCTTCCTTCATTTGCTCCTCCACACCCTTATGTTCAGAAAGTATCCGGGCTCGGTTCACCGAGGGCCAACTGCCACTTGGGAACCTAGCACCCTCCCCACCATTTTACATTTCCGTTTTGAACACCTGAGCAAAACAAAACTTTAAAAGACCAACCTCCTGCGAAAAGAAAGCCTTTCCTCCCCTTTCTTCAGGAAGAGTGACGCAGGGGCTATTTGAGTCCTGGGAAACCACTGGACACAGAGGTGAACAGAGATGATTGTACCGACTACACCCTCTAAGCTATTTAAAAATCTAACTGGCCGAGGCAGCAAACGCAGCCTAAGCAACTTGCCACTTTCAGAAGAGCCAATCTCAAGCACGGCAACCACAGTCTCTTAGGTTGTAATTTAAGCAGAGAGAACTTAGGCTCGCCAGTGTGGTGAAGTCCATCTGCAGGACTGACGCTGGCAGGCACTCTTGATTGACTACAGAAGCTTGCTAAGTCTCAGCCCAAGAGAGCTCTGGGGGTGGGGGATAGACTGTGAAGGATGATAAACAGGAGGCTGAGATTCTATCACTGGAGGCACCAACCCACCCACTCACTGCCGCTTTAGGCTTTTCCATAAATAGACCTCTTAAAGGAAGGCTCATGGGAGGACTCCGAGGTGATGTGGTTGTGACATACATGGGGGTCTGCTTAAAAAAAAAAAGAGCTTCATAATAAAACTTATACATATAGCACGCCATTTTAAGTGAAGATATTTATAATTGCAAAAGATGTTGAAGAACAGTCAGAGCCAGCCGAATCAAAATAACAAAATGGTTCACCAAATTCATTTTTAATCTCACAGGCGCGCTTGGTGGTGGCCTGTTCTTTTAATACCATGGAGCTCATTGTTCAGTTTGTACACTGTCTTTTATATAGTGTTCATCAGTAAATGAGAAACATAAGAGTTGGGAGAGAAAATGGATCAAAGACGGTATGCTTCCAGAGAAGCAATCCAGAGGAACACGGAAACCAATCATCTTCCTTACTTTTTAAAACACATATATTTTCTGTGTTTCCTAGCTGGTACTACCGATAACAAATCAGCAATGCAGAGTAGAGGTTTTCTTAACAAGTAAAGGCATTTGGACACCAACCCAGCGCTGGGTAGCAGATAGAGAGATCTGGCAAGCATTAAAATTATGCTGAAGATACTATGAGGATTAAATTTCATACCAAAGAAATTGTATTCACTGTGCAAAATATCTCCAGTTAAACAGATTATTCAAAACTTGGGACTGAATACATTCAATCAAGCTGTCAAAAAACAAGGCTCCATTGTCTCCTTTCTTTGCCTTGAGGAACTTGGACAGACAGCAACCAGACAGGGCTCAGCTCCCCGGCCCGCAAGGGTGAATTTCTAGAGGACAGTCTCCTGTCTGCAGAGTGAACTTTAAACAAGTCGTTCTGTAACTTAAGACTCCCTGTGTTCGATTTTATACTAAATTAGTCTGAGTTTGAGGCTGCTTCTCACCCAATTAATCCATCAAACGTACAACCCATCAAAACCAGCACCACCGTCGGTGTATTTAACAAAATGATAATTATTTAGAACACAGAGTTGGAAACAAGGTAAAATTACAGTGGTCTTCGCTGTTAGGTGTTCTATGGCGCATGACGTAAGCAGCAGCCCTCCCAGAGTTCCCCAGCACACTCCGTACCCCAGATCCTGTTCCAGCTATGAGGTCTGGCGGGTGATACCGGATTCACAATGTTTTCACCCAAATAAACAGAGGATCAAAAGCAAACCATTAAAACGACCTAGAGCACTGCTGTCCCGCAGGACTTTTTGCAGTGATAGAAGTGCTCCATACCAGCCTCTCCACCCTGGCTGCCCAGCAACCATGTCACCAAACATCTCAACTGAGGCTACCGCAATCGAGGAACTGAAGGTTCAGTCTACTGTGATTCCGTTTCCTTAAGGACCATCATACTGGAAACCAGGGCTCTCAGAGTCTAAATTGGTAGGAATAAAAAGTGACCATTCAGGTTGGGGGTGGAACAGTAGTAGAGAGCTCTTGTCAGCTGCGCACAAGGCCATGGTGTGATCCCCAGGGCAAATAAAAAAAAAATTTTTTAAGGAAAAAAAAAATGACCATTGAACCCTGGCTCAAAATGATGTTAAGATCCTGAAAAAAAAAATTGAAACTAGAATTACGATCTATCTTTAGAACAAGGTAAAAGATCTAAAGGTCGGCATTTTGAAATTTTGCTCAATTGATTTTCCGTAAACTAGACCATTTTGCACACCATATTAGGATGTAAAAACAGGCAAGGAATTGTGTTAAAAACGGGAATCAGGCCACCCCATGAGTATTCAAGAAGGTAAAGTACAACTGAAAAAAATACTCATTTTTCTCTGTGGGTACTACTGGTCCTTGACTTTAAGAATGGAAAGCTGACAGCTCATGCCTCCGTCTAGCACTTCACAATCTGCATGCTCATACCTTGACAGACACAACAAGGAGCTGATCTTGTCAGGTGTAAACAGTGTTTTCACACTTCCTATAGAAGTGCGCCTTCGTTATTATTCAACATTTAATTAAGTCAAAACACCAGCAAAGATCTGGCTGTGAGTTTCAGCACCCGCTCTACGTGACCCAAGTGACAGAGACAGAGGTGGATCCCAACCCTGTAAATGGTATTCCAATCCGACACCTGGCATCGGCAGGAACGATCACAGTGCCAGCAGCCCAAGATCAGTGGTCACCGGGACACATTGGTCAGGCTCCACAACCCTCCTCTGCAGGCCAGTGGGGAAGCCACATCTCAGTCAGCCTCAGCTGGCTTTTCTGAAAAATGGGGATAACAGTACGACTCAACACTCAGTCAGCCCGGGGCAGAACGCCCTGCGTGCAGAAAGCAAACAGTAGGTGTACGCTCTACTAACCTCAGTAGCTTGATGAGATTATCTTTGTCCATTTCAAATTACAAGATCTCTGATGCAACCCCCATCCAATTTCAACTCATTCTTGGCTCTGAATGAACAGGGAAAATCTTATTATCCAGTTTTGTTTTGTTTTTTTTAACCACACAGGACAGGTGAGGCTCAGATGCATCCTGTCCAGATACTCAGGATGATGTCATCTTCAATAGAGAGAAGGAAACAGCCACTTTACCCCAGCAGTCTTCCAATTCTTATAAACATGCTCAGATGTTACCAGACACTCGTTTTCTTCTGCAAGAGAGATTAATGAGGCAAGAAGTGCCCATGAAGTCAAGATTCTAAAACATGATAAGCTAAGGGGACTTCAGAGGCCACGTAGTCTATTCCCTTGGTTTTGTTTCTTGGAACCTGGGCTCTAGAGGGTGAAAAATGGACGTTAGTAGTTACTTAGAGGTCAGTAGTTGTGTGATCCTCGTATCGGTTTACTGGAGCCTTTTTAAGTGACCATAGCAACAATTACAGCGAATTATAATGTGTATGTCAAAATGCATATCGAGCATTGACCGTTATTATTAAGGGCATACGGGTTTTACTTAAGACATAAATGGCCCAAGTCAATGGTGTGAATAAACACAATGGTTTTAAAAACATTGTTTTTTTAAAAAAGCACAAAAGATAAATGTATTAGTCTGTTGGATATTAAAGACAAGTTCAATGCTTAGAATTTTATTGCTTTAGTTTCTCAGCAACTTATGTAGAAATTGCACTCATATCCTTCTCCTTTTCAGTAAGAACCTAAAACTACATTTGCACTTGCCCTAAATGGGGTGGGGGGTGGTCCCAGTGTTCACTCTGGAATCAAGACGGACAACTAAGTGCCATTTGTACAGGGCAGCCTGGACTCCCTCGACCTCCCAGCCTGTCCCGCAGTGGCCGGACGGCACGGAGCATTTCTCAGCAGCACAGCAATATGCACGCCATGGTGGACCAGCAATGAGGGCAACGGCCGGAGAGTCTGGAGGTGGGCGGGAGGAGAGGTCACGGAGACATGGAGGCGATTTGGGTCTACATGGTGGGCTGGCTCGATGTGTAGTTCCACTGTTTTAACACACTGGTCTTGAATGGGAGAGAATGGAAGAGTAACCAAGTGCTTGTTCTGTCTACTAAATGGTAGAAAGAATGGCTTAGGGGGTGCAGGTCTCCTTGGGGTTACAGGGACACAACAAGTGACCAGGAGAAACAGGTGAGGGACCCCAGTGGCCAGGAGGAGACGGAATCTGTGCTCACTCAAAGCAGAATAAAGAGGCCTGAATCAGGGGTGTAAATGCAGATCGAGGTCCTGCTGTAGGCTGAAGCAGGAGCAGGTTCTGGGAGCCCAGGTGACGGACACCAAGGTCAAGAACAGGGCGCCATAAAGAATCATCCCAGGAAAACCTACCAGATCCAACCAAAGGAAAATTTAACTCTGTGGCATTGCTAGATCTGTCCCCGCAGTCGTGACTCCTGGGTTTGCAACCAAAGCCTATCGAGGCAGCTTCTCCTCTCCCACGAGGCCGCCTAGTTGATGCTGGGCAGAGTCTTCTCCAGCTGTTTCCTGGTGCAGCTGCTGGGGATTCTGAATGGCTTAAGGGCCGGCGCCTCTGTGTGAAGGCTGAGTGTCCACTCAGAGGCCTGGAAAGGTCTGTCGTGCTCTCAGTCATCCTGGGGCACGGGCCTTGCTTTTGTAGAGCTTATGTCCTAGGACACAAGTAGGACAGGACACGTAAGAAATTGGCCAAAGAAGTGAAAGATAATGTCAAAGAGATTAAAGAGGCGAAAACATAAAAGTGACGTGCTGACAGTGACAGGCAGGGCCGGGCAGGGCTGGGCAGGACCAGGCAGAGCCAGGCAGGGCCAGGTGACTTTGGACAGCATGACCAGGGAAGGGAAACCTGCACCCACAGCAAAAAGGAGCCTCCGGTGTTTCTTTAGAGCAAAACAAATGTTGTTCGAAGAAATCAAAGGGGAGTGGAATGAGCTGAGCCTCTGCTTTGTGCCAGGGACCATGCCTACCACCTGGCACTCATTAGGCCCCTGGCCCTCAGCACGGGTCTTGGGCTCCCTGTGACTGCTCACACTTGGACAGATGAGAAGAAAGCCAGGTGCACGCAGGTGAAGCCAGCTGCCCAAGGTGGAGACAGAACGGTCACCTCCAAGTCTGTCCAGGGAGGGGTGGACAAGCAGCCTGGAAGGAGGTTTGGTGAAGGCAGCAGCAGCCTGCGTGGGGGTGTTGGTGACCAGAACCCCAGGAAGACAGAGTCAGGTGCTGAGGAAAGGCCTCAGAGCCGGCGGGCAGGCAGGACTCGCAGGTGAGACAGCGGCTTCACCCTGAGCCTTGGGAGAGAGCTGCGGACGCTCAGAGGAACACGGGGCTCAGAGGCTTTGGACAAAGACCGTGGAGTGCCTTCAATGTGTCAGCTGACTAGGGCAGGGTGGCTCGGAACAGCTGGACACTGACATCCTGACAGGTGGGTGGAAATATGAGCTTCAGAGGAAAGGGGAGGAATTACCCGGACCCGGGCAGCTCAGAGCGTCTCTGGGCCGTCCCACAAAGAGTGTGGCATCCACGTTGGCTCCAAGAGCCCGTCCATCTCTCTCTAACCTCAAGCCACATGGAGCCACCCCCCAACGTGACTCACCCCAGAAACACACAGAAACACACACACACACACACACACACCCATGATGAATTTAATTTTAAGTAATGGCCCTATTACACAGACATGCAGAATGACATTTTGTTTGGATTCAAACGCATAGTGTTAAAATGCTGTGAAGTCACGTGGGCTTTGATTTTTTTAATGTTATTCAATTGATGTCATTAAGAGAGCAGAATTAGTCTTGTAATCATTCCCTTATGAGTTTGGCTGTCTGTCTTTAAAAAAACAGAAAGAGCACTCATTTCTGTCCCAAGCCATCTTATTTAGGGGGAAATTAGTTGAGATAAAGACCTCAAAAATCACGTCTCAACGTTCACATGGGAAGAGGGAGAAAATGCACGTCAATAATGACTGCTGTCCCTCACCAAGCCGACCTCTCATCCTGAGCTCGGAATCTGGTGGCCACACCAGAGAGGGCCAATCCTTCCCCCCCTGCTTGGGCCTTCGCCTGGCCTACCACCCCAGCACTCTGCTAGCATGCAAACGTGCGACTGCTGTTTTGTGCAAATAACACTGCGAATTTCTGAAATCAGTATCCACCACAGCCACAACACAGGGACACAGTTGTGAAAAAGACCCAAACGCAAAAGAAACCAAGAAGACGCTCAAGACATCATTTTCCCCTTTCTATCTTGTGACTTTAGCCATTGAATCCTCTTTGTGAGCTGCGAAGGAGTCCAGTTTTCCTAATAAGCCGACCTTCATTTAACTCCACAAGGGAAACCCGCAGAAAGTCAGCCTGTCAGGGGACCGTGGTGTTGTGGACGCTGCTTGTTGGCAAAGGAAGTGGACCAGGAATCACATAACCTGGCTCACGGTGAACCTCTCCCCTTTCTAACTCTGTCACCCTGAGGGCTCATCTCACCTCACCCAGAAGGACTCTCTTATTTATAGTGTGTTGTGGAACCTGATATTACCTTTAAGTATTTATCTGGTGTTTTGTACCAGAATCAATCCGTGAGCGAGGAGTATTACTACATTCACACCTATTCAGTCCTGTTAAGTTCTATAATGACTTTAGAGCCATTTTATGAATGTCTGTATCATCTGCATCTTTTATGGGTTCCCAGGGCTGAAAAGAACACCTATGTGTTCGTCAGCTTTCTGTTGCTATCAATGAAATACCTGAGAAAATCAATTTATAAAGACAAAATGTTGACTTTGGCTTAGAGTTTTGTTCCAGCCCAGGATTCATTGGCCCCACTGCTTTGGGACATGACAGGGCAGGAGAAGGTGGCAGAAGAAAGCCACTGACCTCGTGGCCCAGAAGCAAAAGACCATGTGGAAGGGCCTGGAGCCCCATGACGTCCTTCAAGTGTATCAACGCAATGACCAAAGACCTCCTGCCAGCCTCGCCATGCCTAGAACACGCAGCCTTAGGGACGCTGACCACCCACACGCCAGCAGTGTTCTCTCCCCATGGGGAATAATTTGTGCTTTAATAAGGTACATAGAAGATGATGAGCTAAATGGAGAGCAGTGAAGCTACTGTTTTAAAAAGTGACTTTTAATTTACAGACGAGTATCACCCGTGTGAAAATTCAATTGTAGTTTGAAGAACCTAACATGTGTATTTATTTCAAAATTCATATGGAAAAGCCAAGGGCAGACACCTAAGTCCACCTTGAAAAAGAAGAAAAATAAGCAGGACCTACTGTACCAGATGTTGCATTGGAATAACAAGCTTTATTAACAAGACAGCTGAACTCCAGTTAAAAAAAAAAAAAAAGATCAGAGGTTCAAAGTGTCCCCCCATGAACTTGAAGAAAAAAATCACCCTAGGAGAAAACAAAACTAGGTTCCCGCCAACCACCCGAAACACAGGAACTTAATGCAATGGGTGAAAGACCTAAATGTAAAAAATACGATGATAAAGTCTACATAAAAAAGGCAATTTTTATAAAAGATAGAGAAAAATTTATTTTGCAAAGCTCCCAAAGTAAAATATTAATGAAATGAATTACATCCAAATTTAAGAGTTCTGTTTAATAATAATAATAATAATAATAATAATAATAATAATAATAATAATAATATAATGGACAAAGTTAATAGAAAAGTGACGGGAGTGGGTGAGTCTGTGGTTGAAGTACAAAAGCTTCCAGTGGAAAATTGTACAGTGAATTTAAGGAAAATTTGCATAAGGAAAAAAAATCCCTAAAATAAGCATATGAAGAGATAATAAAATTCATCAATAATCCGATGAGAGGAAAATAAACCAAAAAGATGTTTTACAAGCAGTTGACAGAAGTAGGAACACCAGAAACCTTACAATGCCGAGTACTGGTGGGAAGGTGGGTATCTACCCCCCATGCTGCTGCTGGGGCCTGGGTAAATCATCGGCGAAGCCTCGAGGAAGTTACTTGCATACAGCATCTGAGCTGCATCCACACGCACCACGGCCCAGTGAATCGACTATTAGTCCAGATCCCAAATTAAATCCCCCCCTGGTGCTTTCTAGTCAGGGATGTGTGCGGGTGAGACAGAGACAATGCTGATGCCCAGCCCTGGGGGAAGCATGGGAGTAAAACGTGACTCGGGCACACTGTAACATCCTGGAGCGTGTGGATCCCATGAACTTGATGTACCCACAGCAATTCTGTGCACTTGGAAACACGGCAGAGGGGAGGAAATACTAAGAAAGAAAATGGGATATAAAACTCATATAAATTAAAATGCCATCACTGTAAATTTAAAGTAGGGTGCTGTGTACATTTCAGAACATGCCCACTGACCAGGGCAAGCACTTTGAATGGTCGGCTCTTGAATAAATAGAAAGAAGGGGAGTGTGTGCCTGCCAGTCCGCACGGGTGCCCACATGTGCAACCAGCAGGCCCCTGTGAAAGCAGGCACGGATGTATGTGTGTACATATGCATCAAATAAAAGCCTCCCGACGTACCACACTGTCATTTACATGGAAGGTACTCTTTTGATACTTACCTTTTCTTTCTTTCTTTTGGTACTGGGGATTGAACCCAGCAGAGCATGACCACTGGGCCACGCTCCCAGCTCTTTATTTTTTGAGACAGGGTCAAGTTGCTTAGGTCCTCACTAAGTTGCTGAGGCTGACTTTCAACCTCTCCTCCTGCCTCAGCCTCCTGAGCCACTGGGATGACAGGCGTGGGCCACCCCATCCAGCTACTATTTCTTATTTTTGATGCTGATCTCTGGCCTCTAAATCGACTTCATGACCTGCCAACGGGTCACAACTTTCCACTTTAAAGCCCTGATGCAGACAATCAACAGGGGTGCTGGCGAGGTGCTGGAGAGATCCTGGCGCACTCACGGGAGCGCCCCACACTCCCTGGAGCCTGGAATCCTCAAGGACACTGCAAGCACCAGCAGCAGAGCTGAGAGGAGGCCTTTCTCAGGCAGCCTTCTCCAGGGATTCCTGTCCCTGGAGTTGCAGGGGGCTGGGACTGCTCCGTCACGTGACGCTGACCTAACAGGCACTTCCGGAGGGTGAACTTTTCACCCCTACTTCAGCCCTGCCTTGTGGGACTGAGGCCAAAACTAGGGCAGGAAACAATAGGCCAGTTGCTAAGGCACAAAGGGATATTTTAAAACATAGAGGGACACTTTAAAGCATTCCTTAAACACACTAAAATGAGACATAGAACCATGAAAATAGGATCCTTCTCTTAGAATTGGAAAGTTTGCCAATAGGGTTGCAGTACTAAGATCCTAAATAATCAAGTGGAAAAGCCCAGGACAGGAGTGGGTCACACAGGCGCAGAGAGAGCAGGAAGCTGTCCGAGGAGGGGGAGACGCCAGGCAGGAGATCAGAAGAGTCCACAGGCTGCTCCCAGCCCTCGGTTCAATAAACAGAAATTAAAAGGACACAAGAATGTCTCCCCCAAAGCAAGTGACTGTCAGCTTCTGGGGACAGCTCCAGGTCCTCCTTCTAGGAGAAGGTCTGCCCAGAAACACATTTTGGGGACCAGTACTGCAAACATCCATTTTTAAGTGGTCTGATGGACGTGGAGACTGCTGAGCTAAACAGGGCTAGACACTCCTGGGGGAAATGAGGCTTGGGA